TCAATTTACTTCAAATTTGAATGGTAGCTGATGTTATGAGTCTAGATAATATTAGAATATGATATATAAAAAAAAATGTAATGTCTACATTATTATTGCCGAAAAGCAGGTGAGATGTGCCAGAAATTAAAATTGTGTAAGATACAGTCAACAGTATATGTTCGGCAGATGAAATTACATCATTCAGTTTAATAAATAATGCAACAAGTCCAAAATTGCATATTGCATTGTTTCTTGTGTCAAAAATTCATTTGTTTGGCATTAGATATGGAATATTTAGCAAATTGATCTTAGATTGAGAAGTGCTTATATGAACTAAATTTTACAAATTAATTCATCTAAAATTTGAACACAAACAATAATGTTTATTAAGTTATTAGTAAAGAAAATGTACTTTAGATCTTATAATTGCCAAAAAGCAACTAATATATCGTACGAGATTATGAAAATTATAGACTAAATTATTGAAGCAATTATTTTGTGTGGCAAAATAAAGTGTGATAATGTTCTTTTACCGCAAATACTATATTATTTTTTCTGAATTTCTTATACTGCCTATGCAAAGACCATAAATGAATCACAAAGACAGGACATCAAATAGGGTATTAAAAAGTATAGGATAGAATGTTAAAAAATTTGGAACTTTTGAATTGTAGACGTGGGTACAAAACAACGACTGTCGGGTCATCCAGTATATATATATATTATTTTTATTTTTGCAGATGCTTTCGTGGTCCAATCATTCTAGACCGTAGACAAAGAAGGCATACTTGTGTGTACGATTCTAAGACTTTGAGAGCAAGAAGACTAAGAAACGCTGTATCGCTGAACAACCTTGATTTGGTAATTTTTTTTTCATAACTCTCAATAATATTTATAGCCCATCACTATCGATACAATAAATTTCATAAATGAATAATCACTTGAACTTCTGTTTGATGTTAAAAATAGATTTGTTTCCTCTTTAATATAACAAGTTGTGCATGGCCCCCCTTAAGGCGAATTGCTGAACTTCCCGTACCAAAAATTAAATTTTTTGAAAAAGATAAAAAAAATTTTATAGGTAAGTAAGATGAAAGAATATTTCTAGACCTGAAGTCTTTTCCCCCAGGTCCGTCGCTTGCTCCAAACAGGAGTCAGCGCCAACAGCAGCGACAGCCAACGCAGAAGTCCTTTACATTTGGCCTCCTGCAAAGGCTACACACAGATGGTGAAGCTGCTCATCGAACACGGAGCAGACGCCAACATCAAAGACGACTTAGGAAACACTCCCCTACACTTAGCAGCCTGCACCAACAACATAGAAATCATCACCCTCCTCCTAGACGGGGGAGCTGATGTCTCATCCCTAGACAACTGCGGTAGAAATCCTTTACAGTTGGCTCAGAGCAAGCTGAGGCTGATCATAGAAATGAACAAGAAGAGGATCGAGCCTCCTGAGATGCAGAAATTGAAAGATCAAGTGCAACAGGTGGTCAGTATGTTGTTGACATTTCTGCAGAAGCAGAAGGACGCTCGAGTCGAATTGGACGATTTGAGTGATAAACTTAATAAGTTGAAAACTTCAGAAATTAATGATATTGATGGAGAGGTTTCGAAATTGTTGGACGACTTGCAAATCTTAGAGATAAAGAAGTAAGTTAAAATGTTAGTTTGTAAATGTTGATTATTTATAATCATGCAATAGATATAAAGATATATATTTAAGGTGAACATTTTTACTGAAGTTACTGATCCATGGGGACAGTTTTATTCAAGAGTCAGTGATAGACATTCTTTCAAGATATTAAAAATGTGTTATTAATGGGGCAATTATGCCGTAGCAGAGCTCATGAAATGGCGTTGTCATGGCAACGCATTCTTATGCTTGTTCATGGTATTGAAAATTATGAAAATGTCTATTTATTTGCCTATTATTTTACATATAAACAAGCAATAGAGAATGTTATGATAACTGCACCATTTAAAATTCTGTTATCATATGATTATTCCTTGCTTGTTCATATGTAAAATACACCTGTGCACACGGCAAATAGATAAACATTTTCATAATTTTTACTACCAAGAACAAGCAAAAAAAAAGCGTTGCTATGACAACGCTATTTTATGAGTTCTGTTACGGCAGAATTGCCCCATAAGTAATATCTTGGCATATAATGAGATTACAGATTGATTATAACTGCCATGAGAAAAATCAGAAAAAAATCTTTCACAACCACTTTGAATATTATGGACTTTAAAGAAACTTAGAAAGTTGGTTTGCAAATTATGAGAGAGATGGACAGAGTACATGTTTACCATGAGCGAGCGAGACAGATAGTGTTGTCTCTGTTGGGGTCAAACATTTGATTTTATGATATTTTCATTTTTTAAGTCGTGTTTTTAATATGAAACTAACAAGTTTTGTACCATTTTACAATCCTGATTAAACACGCGAACTTTTAATATCACTTGCCAAGGCACTTAGTACATGGGACATTTCCCAAAAATGTAAAATTGGGTTTATAATGAAACTCTTGTTGACTTATTTGTTTCACTAATTTATTCCCTTATGATTTACATGTGCATAACTTAACTTATTTATTTAATTTATTATTGTTTATTTTATTTATTTATTTAACTGGTTTTGCGAGTTACGCGGGTACTTTCTTATGTCCTTTCTTATTGACGCTTAAACTTGTACTGAAAATTATACCTAATATTTTGGGTTAATATTTTTTATTGCCCTGTATGGAGCAAACAGCTTTGTGCTTGTGCGTTGTTGCATTTTTTGTACATTGAATTTTAAAATTTTTGAATTCATAGTTTAACAAATAGTTTTTACTCTAGAAGACTTGGGCCAATTGTACCATTATTTTGGACTTTAGTTCTAAAAATGTTATATAAGGTTACAGTTCCTAAGTTTAAATGAACAAAAATAATACAAATCAAGCACGATAACCGAAAAATTGTCATGAAAGCTAGATAGAATTTTTTCTGATCTTTTTCATGATAGTTACAATCAATATTGTCAATTAATACTGCAAACTGGCTCTCATTTCAATACAGATAATTTAATATACAAGCAATAGTTTTATAATATTTGTATTTTTGTTGTAAACAAACGAGAAAAAAGTGCTCAATTAATTTCAAACAAACAAAAAAAAACAAATGAAAAACTATGAATATATTAAGACTTAAATATATTTATAAATTGATTATACTATTTAACTACTCAATAAAAGCATATATAAATATAAGTCACATTTGTTTTTGTCTCATTGATGTGTATATATATATATATATATATATATATATATATATATATATATACTGGCTGGCCCAGCAAACGTTGTATAGCCATAAAAAATTATTGCAGATAAAAAATAATTAATTGATTATGAATGTAGATTAGAAGTATGTGGTATAGTGAAAGTGTTAGCTATTAGTAACACAAATTATAAATGTATATGGTTTGCCCGCTACAATGCATGATACATATAAATGTTACTGGAACGCATTATTAGTCATTACAAGTGCCATTCTAATGTGAAACTTTTATTAACTTCCTGAAGGATAAGTTAATGTTTTCATCAAAAATTCCGATTCGCTATTTTTATGTAAAAAATGGTTTTTATATTTACAGCAAATTTTATTAAATTTTTAAGTTAGACACCTACACGTTTATTTTGTGATTTGAAAACGTAACAATAACGAAACCGTTACGTTTTTGCGCAATTTGGAAGCGTAACAAATTCAGTTTTTGAGGCGGAAATAGAAACGTCTGTGTGCCTCCTACGTTACGTAACCGCTATGTTTGACGTAACATCTGTTACGTTATATTAACGTTTTAATTACGTTTTGTGGTTTACTGTGAATTTATGACCCTAGACCAAAATGCTCCTTTAATATTAGTAAGAATCTTTCTTACCAATTACCATCCCGTACCGTCATTTCACCACTTCAACAGATTGTATTGATCTGTGTCTTGTGATTCAGTTTCAGTTTAAATTCTTATATAATAATATTATTGGTCTCTACCTTGGAAAGGATTCGAGACTCCAAAAATAACTTCATGCAATGTTTTATTCAAAACATTTTGGAGATATAAATATTAAACAAGAGTTGGAGAGATATCAGGACTAAGTACAGTAAGGCAGTACTATGAAGCGTGCGCTACAGTTTATTATCTTGTCGGAAGCTCCGACGCGCCAATGAAGATTTTGGAAACCAAATTACAAGTATTTTCAACTGTTTATTTCAAAAATAAAATTTTGGCTTTTGCTAAGAAATAATCGGTCCGATATCGAATTGATACGTCGTTCATTCATTTTTATAATTAAGGAAATTTCGTACTCTAAAAATGTGTTAAACGTATACTGTAATCAGTAGCTACATGCAAAAAACAGATTGTATACATTTTCTTGGCATAGATTCTGATTAGAATTTTATAGATTCAAGATTGTGGACTAAAACGTGAAAAAAAAACACTTATTCCAATTATAATAATTACAAAGAAACAGCTAGGCCGATAGTTACGCAATACTGATGAACTAGAACTTTTCGAGTTAAAATGAAAGGTTTTTAAATTTTTGACATCGGTTTAGGCGTTTTGGATAAAACGTCAATGGAAGGTCTATAATGCTCACAAAGCTCTATTTTGCACTTGAAATTCAACTTAAAAAAACATGAAATAATTTTTTTCATGATAGTTACCATCAATACTATCACCCCGTTTCGGCTTGACGTTGAGTTCTGGGACACCTTGTTCAATAACGTTTTTTTAAACTTCATAAAAATGAATCTAAATATAAATAAATTTGAACTCACTTGTGGTCAGAGGTCCAACTAAATCAAAACAAAAACTTTCCAATCCTAATGAACTTGCACAAATAACGCAATTCTTCATAGACACCATAATTTTCATGGACAACCTACTGAATTAACATCAACATATATAATTAAAATAAAATCAATCGTAATAATTAATTAATTAGTATCATAATTTGTTACCTTGCATTTTTATTTTTATTTTTTTTACTAGTGTCCTGAAGAAGTAACAATATTCGAATTTCTACACTAAAATTTCTGAAACTTCCTGAAAAATAGATAAATTACAAAATGCCTATTATTTGTTGCATATATTAGATATGTTTTATTATTTGTGTAAATAGTTAACAAGAAATTGCTTCAAGTACATATGTAAATACAAGATTACATTATATATTAATAATTACGCATATATATACAAACTTATGTATAAATAAAATTACCTAAATTAATCATAATTTAATTAACACAATCATTCTTAATTTTAATTAAAATGTCTGATTGGTACCGGTTTTGATAAATAATTTCCGTGTGATATATTATTGATATAAATATTTTTGTTAAAATGAATTAATCACAACCTCAAACAAAATGCACTTCTCACTAATGTCTTAGATTTCACAGCCCCCACGATTTTAAAAGCATTCAAATTGCGGTTTGCACATTCAAAAAACAAAAACTAATTAGAATAAAATATACTTATTTAGAAAAAAACTGTATTTAACTCCGTAAAATTTTCCTATCTAAAAAAATTCCATTATACCAAATAGCTGGAGACCCACAAAAAATTAACTTAACATCCTTGGCACAACTATACGTCTATATTTTTTAATTTGAAGAAAATCCTACTCTATTAAAATTCTGATTGAATGTTTATCTATATTTTATAACAATTAGGCTAATAACAATTTATTAATTAATAACAAGGTAACAAGATAATTATCTTATCGACTAACACGAAAACAAACCAAATAAAATTTCCTCGTGTTGAGCATTGACTTGTGTTAAATTTTTAAATATAAAATGAATTGTTAATAATATTATTTTAGTGATGCTTAAACATAAAAGCTACCGAAAGCAAATTTCCATTATTACTTAGAAGTTATTTTTTTGGCAAGTTACGGATAACACCTAAAGTCTATTTTAAGTGAAATATTATTATGGCAGTTTCAATGTCTTTTGGGGAAATTGCCCCATTTATCTATATATTAAATTTGAAATGTATCATTATTTTTTTGCTACAACGTTGATATTAAAATTGCATTACCTACAATGTGATTTAAAATCTAAAATTTGTTAAAATTAATAAATGAAGCAAAATACTAGACAAACCGAATTAACTTATTGGATACAAATACGAAAGTAGGAGGAAACCACCATATAATGAAAGGACTTATTAATTATATAAATTTACTATCACTGATTTTAATGTTCTCAATTAAGGGATAACAGCACTATAAACTCAAAAAATATTTTTAATTTTTTAGGGAAAAATATTTCATACATCGACGTGTTTTATTTCTTGTATTTGCTGTGATGACGTCATTTTTGTAGATTTTTATATAATAATTTTTTATTTTGTTACTCAAAAATACCCTTAATACCTTATTTTCATATTATGAATTTAATACCTCCTTTGTCTAAAAAATGAAAAAAAAAAGTTTTTTCAAGCTGTTACCCCTTAATAAATTATTCTTATTATTAAAATTAGTATTGATCAAGTTAATAAATTATTATCAAATCCGGACATTTAAATAGATACTTCCATAATTTAATTAAACAATTAATTTAAATCCTTATAATTACGTTTAAGTACGTTTTAAATTATTACTATATATATTTAACAATATTAATAATTTTGAAAAAATACCTTGTCTATATACAATTCCATTTTAAAACCAGATTTCCGATTTACAATAATATTTTATAAATAAATTAATGGGGCAAGTCTGCCATAACAGAGCTCATAAAATAGCGTTGTCATGGTAATGCTCTCTTATGCTTGTTCTTGGTAATGAAAATTATGAAAATGAGTATTTTACATATAAACAAACAAGGAAGAATGTTATGATAAAAGAATTTTAGATGATGCAGTTATCGTAACATTCATTCTGGTCAACATAGATTGACAAACTAAACAAATAGTCGACGAAAAATTTGCATATCATAATAAAAGAATTTTATTTATTGATTTTTTTTATCGTTTTAAAAGTTTTAAAACCTTTTTATAGTACTGCTAGTTTTAGATGAGCAGAATGTGATGTTGTCTGTATTTTTATTATTATTTGAAGTAATTAATTATATATAAAAATTTATTTAAAATAATATAATGGTTTGTTTTATATCATTCATACAATATTGTATTATCTATATAAAATATATATATTCCTTGTATTCTCCCTTGCTTTGTTTATATGTAAAATAAGCCTGATCGCACAGCAAATAGATAAACATTTTCATGATTTTTAATACCAAGAACAAGCATAAGATAGCGTTGTCATGACAACGCTATTTTATGAGCTATATTATTGCCCCATGAATTGTTAATATATTTTAACTAACGCTGGATATTTCCACTTCTGGTTTAAATTTAATAACAATATCCTAGCTATGAATAAAGCTGATTGATATAAATTGACTGTTGAAGTCATTCCATTGATTATATAAGAATATTATAATCCTAATATTGAACGATAGACAAAATTGTTGGATGTGATAACTCATGCAAGGAAAATAAATATCAACTACAATCTAACAAATCCAACAAGTATAATAAATTATACTTATGTTATATTATAGATCAACTAATAACAAAAAAAAACGTAATTGAAAATCTTTAGCATTAGGTGAAATAATTCCTACTGATACCTCTACCAGTCAACTAAAGCACTGCACGAGTTACCAAATCCTTAAACCAATTATGTATACACCTGTCTTTCACCTTTGTTTTTACTTAATTACTCTAAGGACTCTTCGAGTCCATCCAAACCTCATCAAGGAACAACAATCCTCACCAAACCTGGAAACACTTCACCTTGAACAGGACCACAAGGCACACTCTCACCGTCTACGGTAACATGTCCCCTGGACACATCGTCAGGGGTGATTCTGAAAGCCGACACAGCCGTCATGCTGACGTAAGGATCCTGGGCATTTCCTGATTCGTTCAGGTTTGTGAAGTTCTTCCCATCGACGTGGGTTCCTGAACTCAAACCTAGAAGGAATGCCAGGAGTCTTTGGCGTGAGACTCCACCTTTGATGATTATTAGCCAAATTATGCCGTCGTCCAGGGTGGACTTGGGGGTACAGCAATCAGCACCTGGGTAAAATAATGATGAGAATTAAAATTGTGCCAGGATAAAATGGATTCAATTGTGATTTGAGGATTTACCGATGAATGTTTGGTAGTTAGCATGGACCATTACAAATTCTCCTTTCAAGGTAACCCACTCGTCTGGTACTTTTGCTGTAAGTGCTGGTATCCTGGATGCAGGTCCGTGCATCATGACAGATCCTTCACTTCCGCCTATGGTGCTATTGTCACCACAAAGAGTATCACCATCCACACTGTGGTAAGAAGAAACCCCTGCGGAAAAATCAACAAAATAAAAAATATAACTAGTGGTGTATGCCATCGTGCCTTAAGGCAAATTGCTGGAACTTCCCGTACACCCGTAATAATATATTCGAGGAATATTAAATGCTTTCAAATAGGTTTATTATATGTACTGTAACTTTCATTATTTTTGCTATCTTGTTATATCTGAGCAAATCAAATGTAAATCATAAATCAATTTATCTCCACAACATTAACAATCGTCATTTCATTTCGAATTCAATTTCACACAAATAGTTGCCTAAAAAAATTGAAAAAGTGTTCCCGTATAGTCACGGTCTAACCGCATTTGCAAATAATTCTGTGCGACATTTTCACTTATACTGTACTTAGCTTGGCGGCATTTTCACATTTTTCAATAGTTTTCACAAAATTGGAAAAGTGCTCCAATACATAAACAGTCTAAACGCACTTGGGTAAACATTTGTACCAGAGTGGCGCTTAGACTGTGCTTAGCCTGGGTAATTTTTTAAATTTTTAATCCAAAATTACAAAAATATTTTATGGAAAATAAAAAAAAGATGTAATAATTTTTTATCCTCAAAAGCAATTGTTTTGTCAATACAAGCAGAAAAGTTTTTAGATCATTCAAATCGGACGCTTAGTTCACTCAAAAACTGCCATTTTTTGCACATTTAGCTCTGTATCTTCGAAATGGCGGGACCTGTCTTTGCCAAAAACTAATCACCTCTTCTCCCAATCATTACAAATTGAATGTTTTTTAGATCATTCAAATCCGATACTCCGTTCTCTCAAAAACTCGATTTGTATTTTCTGCACTCTTTGCTCCGTATGTTCGTAACGGCTGGACCTGCCTTTGCCAAAAACTAATCAGCACATTTCCCTATCAATAGGGATCGAATGTTTTTTAAATCATTCAAATCGGTTGACGAAAAAATGCAGACACACAAAACACACACACACATCCATTTCTTCTGAGGTATGCCAAAATGTTCAGAAACCTTCAAAACGTCGAGAAATGCAAAAATTTTCATTTTCGATTTTCGGCCCATTACTAAACTACCCTACAGGAAGTTAATAAAATGGAACAAATTGTTAATCAACAATATACTGGTACTAAAGAGAAGTTTCAAACAATTGGCAACATTAGGAAAAAATTGGAAATTGAAATTGTCTATTAATCCTTACCCGCTGCCGAGTAGTAAGTACTCCTCCTGCTGGTAGTGGAATACCACGAATCCAGCCTCTGCCTGCCTTCCATGTAGCTGCCAGTTTCGCTGCTCCTTTGCTGCTGCTGAACACTGCCCTTTGGAGGCGGCGATTCAGTTTCTAGACTAATTGCATCTCCAAATCCTGAATCACATAAATCGCACGTGCCTGCTGAAGAACCACCACATGCTGCACAGGCACCTGATTAGAAAATAAAACTAGTTGGTATTGGTACTTTGCCTTGAGACAAGTTACATGAACTTCCCGATAATCGACTTAATCAATTAAAAATTAATTAATTTATGAGTGATTAAAAGTATTCCGACTGGATTTATTACACATCATTGAAAATGAACGAACACATTAAATCGGAGTATTTTCTAGCAAGCAAATTTTCAAAAATCAATAATTTTTATAATTGACCAGTTTTTTGTAGGACTTTCATTGTTTAGTATGTTCTTTAAGACCAAGTATTCCATCGTCATACCAAGTAAATATGATCTAATTTTAATTTTAACAATCGTCAAGAAAAAACGACTCATTTTCTCAAACTTCGATGAATTTTTAAAATTAAACTACTTGTAAGGCCGTAATATTTTAGTAAGTTCTATAAGACCATGATATATATCGCCAAAGAAAATCCATGAAAATCGGTTTAAATTTTTCTTTCAACAAAGAAAACGGCTCGGCCGATCTTTAAAAAAAACTAATTTTGAAAATCGTTTTTAATTTTTAAAAATTGGCTCGGTAGTATAAGCTTAAATATGGACGAAAAGTTTAACACTTTTCTTCAAATTACGGCAGATCGTCGCACAAAATTGACAAACGATAGTCCTCATTGAGATACATCAAATGCTTTTTAAATTACTGAAATCGGTTCAGGCGTTTTTGAGCAAACGTCGATAAAAGGTCGAATTTTGTAAATGCTAAAAAAACGATACTAATTTTTGCAAACTTTGGAGAATTTTTAAAATTAAATGACTTGTCGCATGGCCGTAATATTTTAGTATGATTTATGAGACTATGGTACCTACCGTCAAAAAAAAGCATAAAACCATCGAAAATTTTGTTGTAACACTTTATTACAAGAAAACGGCCCGGCCGATTTCTACCAAAAACTAATCAGCACGATTCACAACCAATATCTCTTGACCGGTATTTGAATTTTCAAAGTCGATTCACAATTACGGGCTAAAACGTGGTCAATTTTTTTCACTTTTCTGCTATTTACAAAGAAATGGCTTGGCCGATCGCCGCACAAAACTGACAAGCAATAGTCCTCATCGAGGTGCATCGAATGGCTTGTGAATTTTTGAAATCGGTCTAGCCGTTTTCGAGAAAACGTCGAATTTATGGCAAAAATTCTGTTTACACACACACACACACACACACATACTTTTTCCAAATTTGGTCTCATTCGATTCAGAATGGCTTGAAACGTCGAGAAAATATAAAATTAGCGAATCGGATTTTTTTATGATAACAAACTTCTTCTTCGGGAAGTTAATAAATTTAGTGTTTTATTTTATCGGTTGCTTCTGGCTAAAACTAAATTAGTTTGATATATGATAACGCGTTAATGGGAAACAAACAAGATTTGTGTTAAGGTCAATTTGACTAGTATGAGAAATTTCAGTTGATGTCATAATAAATTTACCTGCAGATGAATTCAAATCCAAAAATGACCAATCATTATGCGATTGCAAATTATCATCAGAATCATCAATTTTTAAATTCTGAGATATGCTGTGCGTTAAATTATTGGTCCTGTTTGAGTTAATGTATCTCTTGCTTTCACTAGAAAAGAAAAACAAAAATATTAATGAATATCGGGATTGAGGCAAAAATTCACACTTGTGTAAAAATAATGAAGATCTTAGAAAACAATACACGGCACTTCTCGTCTCTCATGACAATGAATATCTTTCACTAGAAATGTTTTACCATTGTCTTTGAGACACCTCAAAAGTGATAGTAGCCATTTCTAAATTTATTAATTAGACTAAATTGTTGTTCATGAAGCAATTTAGCTAATTATCGCATCTGTACCATACATTGTTTTAATACTACATTTTGTATGCATCATTATTTCTGGTGCAAAAAAAGAGAAAATGTATCATCTCACCTGTCTGATTCGTTCATCAGTCCTCTCTTCTCCAAAAGTTCTTTGGAGACAGGCAAATACGAAACTGTTCCTTTGTACGTCCTGAGAGTGGCCAATCTTAGAAGACTCCAAATGGTAAATCTTTGGGCTCCGATGGCCCTTAATCTCTCGCTTTCGATGTCGATATCCGCGAGAAGACCCCATCCAACTGACAGGAAGGAATACATAATCTGGAAATTAAGAACAAAATGTTTAAACAATATAATAGATAAATAAACTAGTAGTATATAGCATCGTGCCTTAAGGCAATTTGCTGAAACTTCCCGTACCGTATTGAAATATTCAAGGCATATTAAATGTTTTCAAATTTGTTATTATAAATACTGCAATGAATGCAACTTTCATTATTCATATTTCATAGACAAAAGATAAGAGCTTTTGATTCAGACGACATTCAAAAAACTTATTTGCTACTGTACAAGATGGCATTCAAGTAAAAGTAAATTCATCATATAACAATTTTCAAAATGTTTATTAGTAATATGGTACCACTCGTATAGTACATATTTATTAGTGTCAACCATTATACACATTTATATAATGACAAATTATAAATTATATATTTATAATAGCATTGAAAATGTGTATAATATTTAAAAACAATAATGTAATTAAAGTCATACTTCAAATATGACATGATCAGTTTGTCATTGTAATTAGCATTTAGAAATGAACCTTCATTAGAGAAATGAAGTAATTGCTGATTAATAAATTCTATAATATTTGTTCATACAGTGAATTGTGTTAAACAACGCCTAAACAAATATTATTTTCGCAACTTCACTCATTATCATATAATATTTATGTCTGAAGAACTTCATGTAATTAAAATTAACACAAATTCATTGACTGATGGTATTTTTTGTTTACTTTTTCGCTGGCGATATAATCTCATTCTATGAGCAACTATAAAATCTGTCTTGCCTAAAATATTTTCCAACTCAAAGATTTGTAGAAGCTATGAATAATATAGAAATTATTTCAATGAACTTACGTTGAGTACACGGCACAAATGTTTTATTTATTTTATTATTTTTATTATAATTATTTACGGGAAACAGGGTAAAATATTCTTCTGATTCAGGATTTTTTATTAATTCAAGATATAAATAAACAAGAAATAATGTTGTGATAACAAAATTGTAGATGTTGCAGTTATCATAACATTCTCCCTTGCTTTGTTTATATGTAAAATACGCCTGATCGCACAGCATGTAGATAGAAATTTTCATAATTTTCACTACCAAAAACAAGCATTTTAAGAATTGCCCCATAAATTTTGAAACAATTTTTTTACCAAAACGAGTGGACCTGCTTTGCCAAAAACTAATCAATACTTCTCCCCATCATTACAAATTGAATATTTTTTGGATCATTCAAATGTATCGCAGTCGAATTTCCTGCCTTACGTAATACCATAATCTTACTAATGGTACGTGTCATCTCTCTAAATTGCTAATTGAAGTGAATATTCAAATTTATTCCATAGTCGTTAGTTAGCTGGTTAGCTATTTAGCTGACTAGTCATTTTGTAGATATGTTAGAGTCATAGTCAATAATAGTGTTCTAGTACAGGATGGTGTAATTAACACGGTGCACGCGAATCCTTCCTGGCAGACAACTGGTCAGCAATTGGGATTTATGATGGCATGATTATGACATTACATCATCATCATGATCGAAATGACTTGTGGGCAATGTAATTGTAAATATTATGAAACATAGTGTATTATAATATATTTAATACACTATGTGGGTTTGGTTATTAGTACTGACCCCAGGGGTCTTAAGTTACAGATGTTATGTGCTTAGGATGACCTCTAATAATAAACAAGACTGCGATACATAAATTTGCCTAGTAAGATAATATAAATGTAGTTTTTTTAGAATCATGTACCTTTTCATTTATTAACTTCCCGCAGGGTAAGTTATTATAATCGTCCAAAAATCAGATTTTGAGAGAACCAAGCATCTGATTAGCATGATTCAAAAAACTATAAAAACGATTGCTTTCGAAATATTTTTTTATTAATTAAAAAAATTTTTTTTTTAATATCGAAAATAATTCAAATTTTATTTTTTTTCTGGCTAAAGTTTTAAAGCTCACTTATATATTTTACATAAATAATTTTAACTTTGCAATTCAGTTTATATAATTCTTATAAATGTCCTTCATTTTAAATTTGATTGATTAAGGTTTGTTTATTTACTTTTCTGTAAACATATATGAGTAACATTTTTTTTTTTTATATGAGTTACATTTATATTCAATTTTCCTATTCAATATTCCTCAAATAATTCATCAAGGTGCGGAAAGTAAAATATTGATAAAAATTGTAAAAAGTACGCGAGCGGCTAAGGCCAGACATCTATAACACCATTTTAATAATTTCCCTTTTTATCATCATTATTAATATAAATTATTTTTTTATCGTGGTCTTTAAACATTTTCACGCCATTCAGTTTGTCTTTTTTAAAAGCAATATTTTATCAACATAAAAAAACATGTCAAATGTTTTTTTCATATCACTATTCACAGTTTCCTAATTTGTAAAGATTCATTAATACAAAAACTTCCGTTACCGATTTTATACAAAAACTAATAAAGTACGTGCTCTTTAACCAGTAAAAATCTTAAACCAGATCCAATGTTTATTACATATTGATTAATATTCATAGTTTATTTCACATAATTTATGTAAATTAAATTATCATATATGAAGTAAAATATTTACGGTAGTTTTATTCCAAAGACACTAATTTAAGATTAATAAATAACAACAAGATGTTTATAGATCACCGTGATTACAAGGAAGTGAAATTCGATTGCAAAAGCAGTCGGTCGAGCCGCTTTTGTTTATTATTGTCTTGTCGAAATAGCACATCGAAATAGCCGGTGAAAATTCCAATTTAATTATTAATGTTATATAATGTCGTTAATGAATGTTGTATGAAGTGTCTGAGATAACTTCTTGAAGCCAATGGTAGATGAGAATAATTCTCTTCGAAGGCAACCTCTGAATCGTTTGACACCAAAATTAGAACCAATTTCATCAAAATGGTCTTCAATATTTTTTGTACGAAACCCACAACATTCAATTGCATACATAATTTTTACTAACATGATCTTGAACTCAAAATGACCGCTAAATTCCTTTCCCATATTTGCCTTAAAACTGAAAGCACAATCCACCAATCACCAAAAGTATTCACGAATATGCTTTTGTAATCGACTCAAACTCAATAATGAGTCCTCAAACATAACGAATATGTGTTAATTGCTAAAGACTACATTTCATGTAAAAATAACTAAATACCAAACAAAACACAAAATGCATCGTCTGATGCCAATTTTTGAATACTACGCGTTTTTTTTCATATACGAGACGGGTTCAAGGTTTCGGAATATTTAGGGAAAAAATCTAGGACGCAGAATCTATCAATGATGAATTGATTTTGATGTTTAATTAGTGATAATTAGTAGAATAATTGGAGTAATCAAGTATGTGAACAATGGAAGAGTAGCAAAGAATATGTTTGGTGTCCTTTGTTCTATTTGTTATTTTTAAATCAAACTGAGACTTTTTTAGAATACCCATACCAGATAAAACTGGTTCAACAATTAATATATATATATATATATATATATATATATTTATCTATGTATTTATTACCTTGTTTGTGGTTTCAACTCGTACCAGGTCCATTGGGGCGGAGCGCCCTTTTACTACGGCCAAAGCTGCGCCCAAAACCGGCTTGGGGCTGTACGGCTCACTGTGAACAAAGAAATACAGTAGATTTTAAACAATATTCATCATCTTGGTATTTTGCAACAATATTTCACACTTAGAATATTATTATGTTATATAACACGTCGATGTCAATAATTGCAACACTTTTTCCCATGTTGCAATGTGTTCGGCACTCGATTATTTTATAGCACCGCTCGGCGCTTCCGAAACATTGCAACATTTCGAGATTAGTCTTACTGAGGAATTTTAAAACAATAATAAGGTAAAAAAATGTTTTAATTTAATTTATCTCTTGTCCGATTGCTTTTATATATTTTTCTACGTTTTTACTTGCTATTTCAGGCCTGTGTAAAAGATCTGTTGATAGTACATTTTCTTACATTTCTTCAAATAACTTTATTCAAATAATATTATTTTAATTCTTATAATTAGTTTTCTTCAAATAACTTACGGAACGGCTAGACCTGCCTTCGCCAAAAACTAATCAGCACTGTCTCCTTATCAATACGAATCAAATGCTTTCTGAATTATTCAAACCGGTTGATCGGTGTTCCCGAAATCGTCAACGAAAATTTATATCCGCACACCCACACAAACATAATTTTTTTCTAAATATGCCAAAATAATCAGAAACCTTGGAAACGTAAAGATATATAAAAATTATCATTTTCGATTTTTTGGCGATTACTATAACTTACCCTAAGTGAAGTTAATAGCATCCCTTATAAAACAATTAATTAACGTATACATAAAAATTACTTTGAAGTATACCTAACTAAACAACAGAGCTCAAAACTAACAACGACCAAAAATATTTTGGATAAAATTGACAATGTGTAAGAATCTCATTGGGTACACATCTTTTGCTCTTTGCTTCAAAAGAGCATCCCTAAATATACCACATTTAACTTGTTTTTGAGATGACCATGTCAGATATTTAAACTCTATGTCAAAACAATCAAAAAATATTAAAAAATAAGTTAGTAAATAAATCCATTTAATCTGATCATTTTTTACTAACAAAACGTAGATATAACTGTAAATTAGCTATCGAAATGTGTGACTCGTAATATTATGCTAATTATGTGAGTCAGGCACAATTTACTCCTCCATTGTCATTAAAGTTCCTGGTAGTGCTAAAAAGCAGATGACATCATGAATGAAAATGAAAATGTCATATGATGATGATGATAGTTATAATTATGAACCGAAAGCAATGATCTTCAGCACGCAAAGTTTGGTATTGTGATTTGTCAAGTTCGTTTAATGGATCACATGATGAAATTGTATGTAAAAAATAAAGGTTCAATGTTGGAGGAATCTAATTGGAGACTTGAAAATTAACTATTTCAATCGCATGACAAATTTAGAGATATTTTCAATCAAATTTTTTGTATATTTATTTTTAACATCCATCGAACTTTTTATTTCCATATTATATAACAATCAGAGTTGTTTGCAGACCTTATGAGTGATATGGCTTACACATAATAATAATAATTTCACAGAAAGGAAAGAAAATAATAAATAAACAAAATGAAGTACACGACAATTGAATGAAATGAATAAAGAAAAAAAAAAAAATTAAAAAAAAAAAAATGTAGTAATTGCTTCTATGAGCAATTGACTATGGAAAACATTTTTTTTTATATCCATCGAACTTAAGTATTATGAGCTGTTGGGGTGACTTAGCTTTGAAATATTTTTCTTCGGCTCTACTGCTCTTTTTTGAGAAAAGCTTCTTAACTTTTTAATCTGCGAATCAATGGATATACAGGACCTCATCATTTGAAGATGCTTTAAAGTTTAGAGAAACAAACACTTAATATCAAGTTTCATAAAAACAAGACATAAAATTATTAATATTCCTTCATTGTATTTAGTATATTGGTTGTTTGTTATCTTTGAAAATTGTGATTTGTACATCTTATACATACATCTATATCTTATATATACATCTTATACATACATCCTATTGAACGACGTATCTTTTTATAATAGATAGCAACCCATTGTTATACGTCTATGATGGAATTTGTATAATTAGAATTTCTGATAAATTTTTTGTCGGCTATGGAAGGGCTATTGATTTGAAAACATATTGCTAACCATATTTTCAAATAAAACCCGATGTCACTATTGCTTGAAATCAGGCTGTTGGAAGCTGGTATCGAAACTGTAAGTTCTGATTTGAGCTCTAGCTATTGATGAGAAATTCCTAATATTTGAATTTTTCGAAAGATATCATAATAGGATGTCATGTTAGGATCATAAACTAATATGGGGAAATAGAAAACCATCCAAACCTACTAAGATTTGTTACTGAAGTATATCTCCTATAAACGTCTGATAATAGAGCTTTTCAAGGTTCAGATAGATTATATATTCAATCGAAAAATGAACTGAAATGAACGTTTCTTCAAAGCAATCGCGATACGTTAGCTGCGTAGAAAAAAAATATAGAAGTTTAATGACCATTTTTGACCACCAAATGGCTTTTTTTTACTTTTTTATTGGATCTCCAACAAAGCTAGACAAAAATTCCAAAAATTATACAGTTCTTTATGTCAATACCAATAAAATGTTTTTTGAATTATTCAAGTTGGACGTCCCGTTCTCTTAAAAAGTGATTTACCATTTTTGACACTTTTTGCTCCATATCTTCGGAACGGCTAGGCCTGCCCTTGCCAAAAACTAATCATCACGTCTCCTTATCAATAGGAATCGAATGTTTTTTGAATCATTCAAATCGGCTGATTCTTGCGCCCGAAATCGTGGACGAAAAATTTTATCCAAACATACACACACACATACATGCATTTATATTGAGGTATGCCAAAATATTCAGAAACCTTTGGCAAAATTTTCCATTTTCGATTTTTTGCGATTACTATAATTCACCCTACGGGAAGTTAAAAATAGAAAACCAACCAGACCCACCAAAATTTGTCACTGGTGAAATTCTCCTAAATGTCTGATAATATCATAGAATATCAAAGCTCAGATTGATTATACGATTATCGTATATCCAATCAAAAAAAATGAAAAAAATTTATAAGGTAAAAATAGTTAAATTTCTTAAAAAAAACTGTAAACACAAATATCTCCACCGCCCATCTCCTTGGATTCGCATCCATCTATCTATATCGTCCAGGTTCAAAAGTCAATCAATCTCCGAGACGTCGACGGCAGCAAAAATTAAATAGATTAATGCCATCTTATCTGTTCTGGTTTTATCAATAAACCTAATATGTACGTCATGGCAGAATCACTTTAGTTAATTTCAACATTAACATTAACATTATTCGCATACGGTTGCTTGTTATCTATGTACGTGATACAAGTAGCATTAGGTGTTGCCACAAATCAAAACAGCTCGTCAGGTGCCCCGTGATTACTTTGAGATAAGAATTAAAATAAAATAGATAAGCAGTTTTTTGTTTAATGTTTTTGGTGAACTGGTACATTGGCACCAGAAAGGAAAATTACAAGACAGCGGTGATGGTACTGTATTAAAGCCCTTTTACCATAAAAGGATACAAATGATTTTAGTTGATTCGATTTCGGTCTCTAACAAAGTGTTAAGAGGTTTCTGCGGGAAGGGAGGGTTTTGCAAAAAATCCCAAAATATCATGTGGTGGAGAGGGGTATAGTAAAATATAATGTGTATTTATTTTTTATCTGAGTTTAAAAAAATCCAAACAATTTGAAAAAAATGTTAAAAAAATTTACTAGATTTTATTTTTTCTCGTAACTTAAAATACACGCCATGTTTGGTGAGGGGAAGGGGTTAATTTTGAATATCACCCAGAATCAATAAAGGCGAGAGGAAGGGCAAAAATCCTTAAAAAATCGATCACGTGATTAATGGACGCCTCCTGAACTAGAGGAATATTGCAAATATTTTGGAATAAAATGCCCAAAACAAATACATAATTAAAATAAATTAGATTGCTTGAGAGTACTTAAAAATAGCACAGAAATATATTTTAACCCTTTCCACTCGGTAATTGCGAGAATAATATGTAATTTGCCGGCGGTATCCGGAAAGGGTTAAAACCCAAAAATCTCTGAAAATCCATTTTTTAACCATACAAATTCGTTAATCCTTTGAAATAGAAAGAAAATTGTATGCAAATATACATACACACACATGCCAATTTTTTCTAATCACCAAAGTATTCAAAATGTTAAATGATATAAATATTACAAATTATATTTTACCATTCGTGTATTTAATAATCCACCTTAAGTTAAAAGTAACTATAAATAAATTTCTATATGACTTTACGTTTCAGGACATTTTGGTATACCTTAGAAAAAACGAAAAAGTGTGTGTGTATGTATGTACAAATACAAATTTTCGTCGAATTTCAGGAACACAAATCAAGATGGAGAGTCGTGCTAGTTAGCTTTTGGCGAAGGTAGGTTTGCAACTTCGGAGATACGAGGCAAAAACTGGTAAAAATAAGAAAATAATACAAGTATATAGGTAGACAAGTAATTAGGTAAAAAAGTAAAAAAGAAATACGGTAGACAGGTAGGCAAGTTGGCAGCTAAACAGGTGAACAGATAGACAGGTAGATTATATTGATTAAATTAATAAATTGATTATTAATACATTTCGAGAAGTTCATGCAACTTGCCACAAGGCTAAATGAAACTTACATCTAGTTTTTTTTATTTTATACATCTATTTTTGCTAAAGTGAAAAGAAGGTCCAAAAATGTAAGAGTACGCCAATAATCATTAAAATCAATCAACATATTATTTTCAAATTTAATAATCTACTTCAAAAAAATTCCAAATAACTATTTATTAATTAGCTTGTGTCGTTGAAATATTTGTTATTTAAACAATTATTATCTACTATGTTTATTAAATCATAGATACGAGTAAATTTAATTATGATTATACACGGGGAATTTTCTAAATAGTTTTCAAACCGGTATCTACAATTTTATTTTCGTAATTATAATCTAATTGTAAATATTATTTATGCAAAATGCGTATATGTATATCATTCAAAATTACGTGTAATTTGTAAATAAATGCTCAGTAGCTATTTTAATGAACATGAATCTATGAAAAATGCTAAAAAACAGTTTAAAATAAATCGTTCTATTTAAATAAATAAAATTAAATTAAAGAATA